CAAGGAGGCCAGTGAGGCTGTAATGGGTGAGTGATGGGAGAGCAGCAGGAGAGGTGATCACCACTGGGCCTTGTAGGCTACTGTAAGGACTTGGGAGATCAGGACATTTTCCCACGTTATTTCCCAATACTTTCACAATCATCACTTTACATACAATCTCACTGAATGCTCAGCAACACACATAAAAAATATTTAAACTGTTGAAAAAACAGAATGCACAAAATAGGATGGTATAAATGAATCTAAATACATCAGTAATCAAATAGGTGTTAAAGGACAAAACAGAATGGATCTTAAAAAAATCTAGTTATTTGCCACTTTCAGGAGCTACACTTAACCCATAAAGACACTGAAAAAAGCTGGGAAAAGATATGCCAGGCACTGCTGATCAAAAACACAGGCGGTGCAGTGCTATTTCTATCAGACAAAGTAAAATTCAAGGCAAAAGCATTTTTAAATATAAAGAGCGTCACTTCATAATGCCAAAGGGTTCAATTCACCAGGAAGATAAAACTGTTTAGAAAATTAAAGACATGGCCTCAAAATAAATAAGACAACAAAAAATTAACAAAGCTGTGTGGAAAACTGATGTGTCCACCACCACAGTAGGGTATTTTAACCTATTAATATATTCCCTAGCAGTTGATAAATAAGCAAAGTGAAAGTAAGAAGAGAAATATTTTCACAGCACAATGAACACCGAGGAAATGAACATATGTAGAATCCTGCACCCACACCTGGTGGTGGCACGTTCTGTCTGCTGGTTGTAGACAAAGTCATGAAGCACTTCTCAACCAACTGCAAGGACTGATGTCACACAGACCAAGTTCTTGGACCCCAGTACCATTTAGCTAGAAGTTGATTTTAAAAAAAAAACTAACTAGGATAAAAACCCAAACCCAGGGCCGGGCGCGGTGGCTCACGCCTGTAATCCTAGCTCTCTGGGAGGCCGAGGCGGGTGAATTGTTTGAGCTCAGGAGTTCGAAACCAGCCTGAGCCCCGTCTCTACTAAAAATAGAAAGAAATTACTCGGACAACTAAAACTATATAGAAAAAATTAGCCGGGCATGGTGGCGTATGCCTGTAGTCCCAGCTACTCGGGAGGCTGAGGCAGGAGGATTGCTTGAGCCGAGGAGTTTGAGGTTGCTGTGAGCTAGGCTGACGCCACGGCACTCACTCTAGCCCGGACAACACAGTGAGACTCTGTCTCAAAAAAAAAAAAAAAAAAAAAACCCAAACCCATGTGTGTGGAAATTTAAAAACACATTTCTGAATAATTTGTGGGTCAAAGAAAGAATCATAAAGGTAATTTAAAAACCCCTTGAGCTGACTTAAACTGGCAATATTATTAATATCATAACTTGATGGATACTGTTGAAGTAGTTCCAGAGGGTTAGCCTTAAATGCTTATACTTGAAAGGAAGGCTGAAAAATCAATGAACGAAATTTATAATTTAAGAAGTTAGAAAAACAGAGAATGTACTCCAAGAGCACAGAAAAAAAATTAAGACAGATAAAAGCAGAACTTAATGAACCAGAAAACAGATGTGGAGTAATGCAGGATAATAATGCCTACATGTCTGCTCTTTGAAAGATCAACAAAACCAATGAACCTCTACCAAAAGAAGGCAAAAAGGAGAAGATACAAGGTAACATAATTACAGATGCTACAAATGTTTTAAAAATGATAATATGAATAACTTTATGCTAGTCAATTTAGTAAGTCACACAAAATGGACAAATTCCTAGAAAAAAATATAACTTACTCCACACTAGCCCAAGCAGGTGTGGGGAAAATAAAAATAGGTTTAGATGTGCCTGTACATGCACAGAACACCTCAAAGGACACATACAAGAGCCTGGAAGCAGCTGTTCTCTGCAAAGGGGCCTGGGTGGCTGGGAAGACCAGGGCAACAGGGACACTCAGACCAAGTGTCGCTTTTTTTTTTTTTTTTAAAGAGCCGGGGTCATGCTATGTTGCCCAGGCCGGAGTGCAGTGGCTATTCACAGGCACAATCATAGTATACTACAGCCTTAAGCAATCCTCCCATGACAGTCTCCTAAGTAGCTGGGACTACAGGCAGTGCCACTGTGCCTTGCTCCGAGTGTCACTGTTGGGTCTGAAATGCCTGAATTATGAATCATATGCATGTGTCACTTGTTCAACAATGAATCCAAATGTACCTGTATACACAGAAAGGCCTCACCTGGCTGTGTCCTGGAGGCTGGCCTGGCACAGTACAGAGCAAGCAGACCATTAACAAGCTATGAAGCAGGAGCAGGTATGAGTATCAGCTGATGCTGGGTCTTTGCATTCTTTTTAATCTTCACATATTCGGTAGGTAAAAAGGGTATCTTTTTTTGTTTTCATTTGCATCCCTTTAATTGCACAGAGGCAGAACTCTTTTCCTGTCTTCATTGGCCATCTGTATCTCTTCTATGAATTTCCTGTTCATCTTCTCTGTTCATTAGTGGTGACTACTGGTAAGTTAGCAATAAGAACTGTTGCATTCAAGTCTAGACTGAGAAGGAAATTTAAAAATCTGCCCACGTGTACTTCATAATAATGACTACTGAATAGCCCAAGATAATTGTACCCACTGCCCAGAGGCATTAAGCCCAGGATGATTCACTGGATAGTGACCTGCAGCCAAACTGTTTTTCCCAAGCCAAACATTTCAGACTCATCCCTGCCCTTCCTCACACTCTTTCCAGAAGGGCTCCTTGAGCTGCTATCACAGTGCTCCTAAATTATCCCATCACCCAAATGACAGAGAACCAATCAAAAAGCTTAGACCAGGACATTTTCCCACGTTATTTCCCAATACTTTCACAATCATCACTTTACATACAATCTCACTGAATGCTCAGCAACACACATAAACAGTATTTAACTGAAGGCAACATTGAGGCTCAAGGAGGGTGAGTGACTTGACTGTTGAGATCCCCAGCAAGGTGAAAGAGCTGGGATTTAATTCCACGGCTAACATGGCTCAAAAAACCTAAACTCATCCACTATGCTTGAGGTAAAATCATGAAAGTGTGTTTTTACCTTGCCCAAACCCTGCACATTGCATCAAGGTCCTGGGTTGCAAGCAACAGAAATCAACTCTGGCTAACTTCAATCACAAAGGAGTTCTTGGGCAGCAGATCTGGAAATGGAGAGAAGACTTGAGAACTGTGCTAAGAAAAGCAGCAGAAATAGAAGAGGCTGCACAACTGAAAACACAGCCAAGGTTATATTAAAGGGACCATCTGGTTGGGACACCCACCCTGGGCACCACTGCCACATCATCACTGGACATTAGCCACTGCTGCTGGCTTCCTGACTTGAGGTGCTAGTACCATGACTAATTAATCCCTTACTATTCCTCAAGAGTCAAAGTCCTTGAGGGCAGAATGGGTTTGGCCAAGCCTAGGCCTCACTGCCATCCCCAAGCTTCCAGGGAACAAGAGAAGGGAATACATCCATCCTCCTGTGACAGGCACTGCCAGCTGCCCCCCTCCCCACAAAAAACCCACGTTCTCCATCTGCCTTACGAATACTTGGCTAAGGAAACTTATTTCCCACTTCCCAGCAGACCATGGGACTACGTTCTGGCTAATGAGATGGCAGTAGAGTGCACTCCCGTTCACCATTCTCCTTCATGCCTGTTCTTGACCTGTTGACTATGGGTGGAGCACACCTCCCACCCACTGGCTCTGGGCTTGCTCACGTGTTGACGGGTTGGGGGAGGAAAAGGCTTTAAGAGGCCTCTGTGTCTCTGCTCACTCCTCTTGGGCTCCTGACCTCCGCCTACGAAGAGACTTCCCCTGGCAGCTGCTTCTCCCTCCTGGGTCCTGGAACGACAGGCTTGAGAACAGTTCTGAACCCCATCTTGCAGCTGACCCAGACCCATGAGTGAGAAATAAATGATTGCTGTTATAGCCAGTTAGCTGCTGGAGTTGTTTGTTACCTAGTAAAAGATGATGGATGTGCAGATGGAAATGGAATTTATTAAATGGGCCTGGAGGTTGAGATGTCAAGTGCCCTTTTGCCCTTCCCCTCTGCCCTCCTCCTTCCTACCTGGAGAGGTGGATGCAATGGCTAGAGCTGCAACTGCCATCTTGCAACCACGAGGCAACCTTGAGAAGTCACCCACCAAGGGGCCCTGGATCCTGTATACTTCCAGAGCCACTGCAGTAGCCATGGACAACCTACTTCCAGACTTCATGGCACATGGAGAAAAAAGTACACAAGCCCCCAACCCTGTCTTTAGGCTTTCTTAAGTAGAAGTTAGGGTCTACCTGCCTCCTACCCAAAATATACACAATGGGGGATTGTTTCAATACAAATAAGGTATCAAGATGGTCAGAAGTCAAAAAGTCAACAAAATATTCATGATATACCATATATGAGGTTTACTCACTACACTGCTTTTTTACCAAGTTACCACAATCACTATAACTCAAGCCATTGATAAAAATGACAAAAGAGATTCTGAGATTCTTTCTTCCTATTTCTGTTAGCTAAAAAAGCAGCCTTTGAATTGTTTATAAGTAAATTCGAGAGACAAAAATAAACCCAGATAATTCAGAATGTACTGAGCACAACACATATGCCTTTCTATGTGATAAGCTCACGGCATTATTTATTCAAAGCAAACCTGCCTCATTGCAAAAATATAAAAAACTTAGAAGTAATTACAAAACACATCACCTCCTACAATACCAGATTCCTTTCCTTTCCTTTCTGACCAGAACAAAAACAAAACATGGTTCAAATTGCTGAGACCCAGAAAGTTCAATTGGCCACAGCATAGAAAATGTTCTCCTGAATTATAGCCACCTAGTAGTGAAACGAGCAGCCTAAGCCTACTGAGTGAACATGGACACCAGGCACAGGTGACAGGCATACTTAGATGTCAACGACCAGATTCTGTGTGAATGAGCCCAGAAATCCTGCCCCTTCTCATTCCAGGAGAGGCTTCATCAACTGTTCGCTCCTTACTCAGTTACTGGGCACCTCTGACTTGCCAGGTGCTATGCTACACCGAGGATTGCCCCGGGGGAGTCACACATGGTTCTGTGCTTAAGGAGCTCATAACCCATTAGGGAAAAAACAACATGCCAGAAAGCTGTTGTCCTTTTTGGCTATAGGGGCTGCAAAACGTATCTGCACGGGTCAGTGAGGGCCCAGTGAAGGGATGGTGGCCAAGTCCCTGAGGCCGGGGAGCTAGAGTGGGTAGTGTCAGCCTCTTCTCAATAATCGGTTCCTAAGGTCCCATCCAGTCAAGTGGAAAACCATGCAGGCCATTCTCATGGGTACTTTAAGCAGTACACCTGTTGGCAAAACACAAATGTTACACAAATACAAAGCCACAGACTGCAAAGGCACCTGACAGCCTTTAAAATTCATTTCTCCTATTTTGCAAAGCTGCATTGGGAAACTGTGCTGTTAAATTATACATTCATAAAGGAGGTATGTTTAAAAAGCAGGGGGAAATGTGTGGGTGCTATTTAGACTCTCATTGATGTGTTCCATGTTTTCAGATAACTGCAAACCCCCCAAAAGTAGCTCAAACTCCACATATTTGCCCTCTCTGTGTACCTTCTGACTCATGACTACAGGCTTGGTTAGCCCATAAACAATACTGTTCTTGTTAGCCATGTAGAAGCTGATGAGCCAACGTCAGCAGTGCAGGCTGCATTCTTTTCTGCCCTTCTTATAAGACAAAATGTTAGGGCAGGTTCACACTGCAGAATTTATCAATTCATTTAATAAATATGCATGATTCTACGCTCAGGGGATATAGCAGGGAAGAGGCAAAAAAAAAAAAAAAATCTCTGCTCTCATGGGGCTCAGATTCTGGAATGGGTAGGGGGAGGAGGAGAGCACAAACAAAGCGAACCAGTAAAACAGCTTACCGCAGAAGGTGACAAGTGCTAGGCTAGACAAAGGGAACTGGTGGAATGCAGGCAGGCTTCAATTTACTGGGGTGTGGTCAGAGAGGGCTATACTGGAAGGTGACATTTGAGTAGACCTAAAACAAACTACAAAGGGAGCCATGCAACACCTTAGACAGAGGGCAGAGTGAGGGTCAAGGCGATGAGGCAGGGGTGTACTTGAAGGGTGCAGGAAGGAGCAAGGAGGCCAGTGAGGCTGTAATGGGTGAGTGATGGGAGAGCAGCAGGAGAGGTGATCACCACTGGGCCTTGTAGGCTACTGTAAGGACTTGGGCTGTGACTCTGAGTGAGACAGGACCCAATGGAAGGTTCTGAACAGAAGAGTGTCACAGTCTGGCTTGCATGCTGTAGGACTGAGCAGAGAACCAGGGGACAAGGGCAGCAACAGGACGCTTGGACCAGGACAGGGGCAGTGGAGGTGAGAAGAATGCATCAGATTCTGGATCTATCTTGCAAGTAGAGTGAACAGGATCTGTGGACAATTGGAGTGGATACCAGGTTTCTGGCCTGAGGAGCAGGGAGATGGAGTTGCTATTTAAGGGAAAGGAGAAGATCAGGGAAAGAGAAGGTATGGGAAGGATCGGGAGTTCCAGTGACCTGGTCAGCCTGTGGACATGAATTTGGGAGCCAGTGGCTTATAAATGGGATGGAGAGCCATGAGGCTGGAGAAAATCACTTTGGCAGTAAGTGCAAAGAAGAGAAATCTGAGCCTGAGGCTCTCTAACATCACATGGGGAGCAGAGGAAGACTGAGGAATAGATAGTCACACACTCACCCAGGACTTCCTGAGGACCCACGGATGCAAGACACCATTCCAGGCACTTGGGCTACATCTGTGAATCAGGTGGATGACCCTAACCCACTGAGCTTCTGCTCCAGGGGTGACAGTTAAGCACAGTCAGTCACATATTCTGTTAGATGGGGACACAGAACTGTGGTTTGGAAAAAACAGGGTAGCCAGGGTAGGCCCCACTGAGAAGGTGCACATCAGAGCAGAGACTCAAGGGAGGGAAGAGATTGACTCACGTGAATATGGGGTTCAACAGAGGCACACAGGTCCAGGAAGAGAAGTGACAATCAGCCTGCAGATTTAACAACATGAAGGTCATCACTGGAGACCTCACACAGCAGCCTAGCAGAGCTGTGGCAGCAAAGGCCTAACTGGTCAAGAGAGTGTGGAGAGAGGGACTGGAGTCTTGCTGGTAAAGGGAAGCAGAGAAGCTGGAAGGGTAGGGTTGGGAGCAGCAGGCTTCTAGGGTGATGGGAAGGACCCAGCAGCGAGCGAGGGATCTCTGACGTGGGAGAACATGGTAGAGGGCTGGAGAGATGCCTCAGAATGGGAGGGAGTGTGGGCCCAGGACAGGGGCTCCCTGATAGCAGGAGGGAGGCAGAGCGAGGGGGCAGATGCCGGCCTGGAGATGTTCTCTTGCGACTGCTTCTGTGCTCTCTGGGAACTAAGAACTGAGACATCAGCTTTGAGGTGTGACAGCTGAGGAGGAGGGTGGGAAAGGCAAAGAGAGGGAATTGCAGTATGCTGGCCAGCTGGGTAGAGTGAAATTCACCTGGAATGGATATGAACTTAAAAGGGGACCAGTCTGAGGTCATATTCAGCTCCAAAATAGAGCAAGCTCGGGGCAGGCAGATGACCGAGTTTCACCAGGGCTGGGGCTTTGCTGACTATAACAAAGCAAGAATTATAACGATGCTGAGGTGGTATGCCAGGGAGCAGTAACGACTGACTGACATTTAAGCTGGGAAGAAGATGAGTGAAGATATAAGGGAGGCAAGGCCTGAGAAAAGATGGAACCATCAATGGATTCCAGGTGCCCACAAGGGCAAAGGACTATTGGAGTCGGGTACTAGAAGCAGTGACCTGGAAACATAGGAGGATCTCTGCTTTTGCAGATGACAAAAAAGATAAAATAATTAGGGCTAAAGTTTCTGGCACCAGCACTAGCCACTGCAAAAGTTGCTTGACTTTGAGAAGAATAAAAAGATGTGCTAGCCTTCACAGCACATGCATCTTTAAAAAGTTGTCTTTAAGAGCAGAATCATAAGTATTTTCACTTTTTATTAATGTTTTGTTTCCATGTCTATAGTCATAGAACAAGGTACAAGAGAAATCTGACAATGGACTCAAGGGAACACCTGATTTTAACCAAACTTTCCAGCAAATAAGGAGGGTTGTCCTCTTTATATCTACTGAACTATGGCAACCCAACAAAAGCGTGCATCGTCACTCAAAGCCAAGAGTTATATGGGTGTTAGGACTACATAGGATGAGGTAAGCATCTCATTTAAGTCTACTGTGAACTTAAGCCTACTCAGGCTCAACTACTGTGGTCACGCTGTTATATATGGAGTAGGACTGACTGCCACTGCCCATCTGCTTATAGCCTGGAGTCCAGTGAAAACAACTGTTCTGAGGGGTCTCCTGGCCTTTCCTTGAGCCCATCTATCCTGGAAATGGATAGGCTTTTACAGTGGGTTCAACAGTGGCCCCAAAAAGGTACGTTACATCTTAACCCCCAGACCCTGTGAATGTGACCTTATTCGGAAGAAGGATCTTTGCTGATGTAATTAAGTGAAGGATCTTGATATGAGATCATTCTGGATTTGTGATGGGCCCTAATCCAATAATAGGCATCCAGAAAAGAAGACACAGAGAAGGCCATGTGAAGACAGAAGCAGAGAATGGAGTAATGTGACCACAAACCAAGGTAAGTCTAGGATTGCCAAGCAGTCACTAGAAGCTGGAAGAGGCAAGGAAGGATCCTATGTTAGAGCCTCTGGAAGGAGCGGGGCCCAGTGACATCTTGATTTCAGACCTCTGGCCTCCAGCACTGTGTGAGAATACGCTGCTGCTGGTGTAAGCCACCTGGTTTGGGGTACTTGGTTCTGACTATCTGATAAACTCACCAGCTTCTACTTGAGCTCTAATACTCTTTAGATTTCTGAGCTTTAACTAATGGTCCGTATGGCTTCTACCCTCCCTGTCTTTACCAAAGAGGAAGTGTCTGCCCAAAGCTCATCCTCCCGTGGCTGCTCTGGATGCTAATCCCCACCCTTTGCCATGAAAAAACTCCGCTCCTCCAGGTCCTCATCTCCTTCTTGTGCTCCCTCTCTACTGGGCCATTCCCAGAGGGATGCAAACATGCTCTCATATCCACTCATCTGAAAAAGACCCTCATCTCCCTCCACCCGCC